GTGTGTGGCGCCCTCAGAATACTTGGAAATATTGTGGGGATATTCGCATTATGGCATATAATTTATGCTACTTGTAGAGAATCTGGCACGCCCTCCACAGCCTGATTTCTCCTTGGAAAAACTCAAATTTTGAATTCTTTGTTGTTCCAAAACATCCGAGAGAATGTAAATCATGATAATTCAGTTATGAAAACAGATCTGAAACTTACTGCACACAAAGAGTCCCTCACTTTGAGAAGTTGCTCCCACATTGTTGCTGGTGAGACTCAATCCAAATCATCATTTTCAAACTTTACTCTATAATCAACTGTCTATGCGGGCAATTTTAAATTCTTTAACATCCCACACATATATAGGGATGACAATAGTTCAGGGAGGGGCGGGCATTACTTTATTATAATTATTATAATTATAATAATTATTCGGGGAGGGGATGGGAAGGGTATATATATTATCGTCCCCATCCCCGTTTCCGACAGGAAATTACATATATTTTTTGTTCTCTGAAAATTTTCTCCATCCCCGTCTCCATCAGGGCGGTGATTGGAGATCTCCGTCGGAGACGGAGCAAATTGACATTCCTCCTGTACGTATACAATTCTTTGTAGGGTTTATCTTTAAAAAAAAAAATACAGGGTTTAGAGAAGAATGCTATCTAAACATGCAACCCATCTTATAATTTTAGTCAACAAAAAATTAATAAATCAGCTTTGATTGTTTATAACTGATCGACTCAAATTAAGAAGGTTAAAAAGAAACTTTTACCGAGAATTGAATTTGAAATATCATAAATATCAAGCTAATTGTTTGATAAATTATTTTGACGTGAAAGAAAATTGTCATATTGCAATGAGTTTCCATTGTCAATAATTTAGTGGGGTTTAGGTTGTGGACCACAGTTTTGTGTTGTGTCCACTGTTCAATGGTTTTTAGGGTTTTGATACGCCGACGTTTTAAACGGACAAAACAGTGGTCATTCATGGCCGGCAAACACGGTTTCATTTGTAAATATACTCCAAAGTCCATGGGAAAAAAAAAAAAAAAAAAATCATTCGTTGTATCATACACTACCACAAAGAGTAACAGGTTTAAACCCATTAAAAGATTCGCATAAATTTAAAGGCCCCAACTACTTAATTTCGCTTTCATGATTTTTACTCTCCTTCAAATGGTATGTATTTGCTAGTTGTTAGTGACAAATTATGTTAGGATGATTGGTTTATGATGTGTTTAATTATGTAATTGTCTAGTTATCTTTTTTATGTTTCAAATAATTACATAATTGACCCAATAGACGGTGATGTGGTAAATATTCTCGAGTATACGGATATGAGTATAAATTATAGTACAGTAATTCGGGTAGTTAAAATCGAGAGTTGAAGGGTCCCGAGCTTGTAAATACTCTAGAGAGAAAATGTTAAAATGTTCCTTACCCTCGTCTGCACTAGACGCTCTATTTATAGGAGAATGGAGGGGAACACATGTCGTACAAATTGATACACGTGAGCCTTGATTCCTGACACGCCTATCTAGAATAGGAAGTGTTCCTGGGCAGACTATTCGGTCTAACCCGACCCTCATAATGAACTGTACTCATAATATTTTCATTATGTCAGGTCAGGATTCTCATCAGGCCGGATCCGGTTGGGAATTGATCCTCGCCCCTAAGAGTACATACCAAGCACTTATGTGGCTGGTCGCCCAAGGTATATTCACTATCAAAGAGTAACTATGATGTTTCTCATTTCAGAAAAGTTGATATTTCCCTACATCATATAACTATGGTCCTTTTGTTATCATATAACTACGGTCTTTTTATTAAGATTTATCTACATCAGATAATTTTTTAGAAATAAATAACATAATATATATTGTGTTAATTGTAATTTTTTTTACATGCTATATATACAAGATAAGTAAATTATCTACTCAATCACCCATTTACCATGTATATATTGGCTTTATGAAAATTTATGGACCCTATAATAAAAGTGATATATATGAATCATGAATGGGCGTTAGGGCAAATTATGCTGTGCATCCGTATGCACCATGCATGGTGTATACAGATGCAAAAACGATGTCGTTTTATTAAAAACGCGCGTTTTCCCTTAAAAAAAATTCAGGTTCGATTCCCAGCAACAACATATGAACTAAAATTCCAGAATCGATGAACTATAATTCCAGAATCTATGAACTAAAATTTCAGAATCTAATCTATGAACTAAAAATTCCAGAATTAATGAACTAAAATTCCAGAATCTATAAACTAAAATTTCAGAATCGATGAACTACAATTCCAGAATCGATGAACTATAATTCTAGAATCAATGAACTAAAATTCCATAATCTATGAACTAAAATTCCGTAATGAATAAACAACATAATGTTGTTGTTGGAAATCGAACCTGAATTTTTTTTTAAAGAGGAGACGCGCGTTTTTAATAAAACGACGTCGTTTTTGTATCCGTATGCCACACGGATGCACATTATAACTACTCCGTTAGGATCACGTTAGTGCAAGTTGGGATTGGGATGGGCACGTGAATTTGTGGATTTTTATGGATACATATAACACACGTACCGTAATCTCCGAGCAAGCGACAAACTTTCTTTATAGAAATTCAACATTAATTGCTTGTCTGTTTTTGTTTTATTGATTTTTTTTAATGGCAAGAGAAATTCACAACTATTATTTTAAAGTGTATATGAAATAAATGCCATACTTTATAATAGTTTACAGATTATATAAAAGTGAAATTACCCTTTAATATTTGGAAAGATGTTCAAATGCTGGCGCTATGCATAAGGAATTTGTCCATTTTGGACATAATTCTCATACTGTCGCCGCCAAGGTTCGAACCTTGGTTTCTTCTTTCAAATACTGTCTACTGAACATTGAACTAAGTTCATGCGTGCAAAATTATCTACCAAGTGAGCAAAGAAATTTTTTTTACAAAAAAATAAAAACAAAATACTAGTATTTAAAAAAAAAAAAAAACTTTTTTTCTTAGGAATTCTACTCCCTTTAATCAAATAAATTCCATTAATCAAATAATAAAAAATAATATATACGGAGTATATTTTTTCAAATTTTAGAAAAATGAGCTTTCTGGAAAAATATTTTTAGTAAATGTTGGATAAGAATGAGGACGTGGCAATCATGATGACTAAGTGGCAAAACTAACCAACAAAAGCCCATTGATTTTCATTGTTACTTTTTCTACTAAATTAAGATATTTTATTTAAATGTCATCTTCTCGAAAGGTCTCTTTTATAGATATTTTATTGCCAATGAATGTTTTGAAGAATGAATAAAATTCGAAGTTAAAAGTCACACACTAAAATTCATTTATTTTTGAATAAATATCTTACCACAATGATATTTATGTATTTAGTAATCTATACTTGTTTGACAAAATGTGAAATAAGCACAAGAATTATATATGAAAATGTAATTTAACTTCTAAACTTTAATTTAAAAAGTACAATTAAATGCATCAACCTTCTCCAAAATGGCATCTTTGTGATGTTTTAAATTTTGTAATTAATTTATTTAAATAAATATTGTCACATCAGTAATTTTACTCAAAGTTGCAAAATACGTTAGGCGCTCGATTTTTTATTTTTTTATTAAAAAATAATTAAAAATTATAAAAATTCACTAATAAAAATTAAAATATAAGGTTCCTCTAGTTTTTTTTTTTTTTTTTTTTTTTTTTACAAACTATTTACGTTGTAAAATGGTTTAAAATATTGTTGAAATCATTTAAATACATTAAAAAAATTTAAGACCAAAAGAAATATTTTTTTTTTTGAGAAATTAAGGGGCCAAACTTATGTCCAAATCAGATAACCAAGTCAAAAGTTATGTCTTGCCAAACTTTTTATACCTTTTTCAAAAAAAAATAAAAAATTATCGCAGATATCTCGTAAGAACTCTCTCAAAATATACTTAGAAGTGATAATTTATTAATGTATAGTTATTGGTTGGAGTTTCTACATTACATACGAACAATATTTTATACTTAAATGAAATTGTATTATGTTTTTATAGAGTGTACTCCCGTAGTTGTCAACCAAGGGGGTGTAGCTCATATGGTAGAGCGCTCGCTTCGCATGCGAGAGGCACTGGGTTCGATTCCCCGCACCTCCAAACGCTGGAATCTTCTATTTTTAGACGCCTGTCTTTTGCAGACAAACCATATATGATCTCACATAGTCACATGAAACACATTTATTTACAATGTTTTTACAGACACAGACGATCTCTTTTTCATTAGTCACATGAAGCACATTTATTTACAATGTTTTCACAGACACAAATGATCTTCTTTTCGTTCAAAAACAAGAACAAATTAAAAACAGCAAGCCGTCAAGGAGGGGGGAGAGAGCTGATCAAACAAGTTTCTTTAATTTGTATGCCATTTAAGCTAAGGGCTAAAGCAATGAACCAGCATGAACAGCGACGCATCCGAGTAGTTCATCACCACCTTGAGTTGTGGCAGCTTGGGCAACCAATCAGACCACCCCGCATAGCCACGAGGTTGTTCTACTCGAGTTGCCTTGTCGCCCGCCTTTTCGTGCTGCTTTGCTGCTTCCATAGTCCAGATATCAACCAGTGCTGACATACAACTTTTCTGTATATATATGTTGAAAGAGATGCAGTATTGTTGAAGATGAGCGGTTGTGACTTTGATGCTTAAATTAGTGGCATTATATATTGGTGTGGCTAATTAAGTCGGTTTTATAAGCTGCCCAGACTTTATTATTGGATGTATATGAATCAGGGGACTTGAAGACAATGTTTCTGCAAAACCTGCAGCCCAGGTGGAGCTGGATGGTATTCTGAATCTATCTTTAATGTTGTTGTTGATAAGTATGGAGTGAAAGAAAACAACAGGCCCAGCAAGTTGGTATAAACAATTCAAGAAAATGGCCAAATGGGCATGGTGGGCTGAATGAATCTTAGGGTTAGGTGAGAGTACACTTCCACTTCAATATATAAACAATTCAAGAAAATTGGCAGAGTGGGATGAATGAATAATCTAGGGTTCAAAACTTCAAATACACCTTAGCTTCATATTTAATTTGACCCGAGATCCAAGAACAAAACATGACTTCAATCTCAGTTCACCCCATCTTTTCTCATCTCCAGATTGCAAGATTGACCTTCAGAGCTTCAATTCCACTATTGTAACTCATGGCTAGACAGTTTTCTGGAATCAGATTCTCCTCACCTGCTGTAATTTGCAGCCTTCTGGGATGCTTTCTTGTTTTCAATCTCTTCTTCTTCACCAATCCCAGACACTTTCTGGGAGAAAATCCTGATAAGGGTAATAGTAATACCCACCACCCATTTCTCCATGAGATTGAGCTGATACAACTCCCTCAAGAATCTGGCACCCTGACTGATGAGTTTCTTGATGAATCTTCAAGATTCAGGCACATTTTCTTCCCAGACAGGACAACTACTGCTATAGATCCCAGAAAAGATGATGCAGAAGAAGAAAAGATGTACTATTATCCAGGGAGATCATGGCTGGACAGTGATGGAAATCCCATCCAGGCTCATGGTGGAGGCATTCTGTATGATGAGAAATCAAGAACATATTTCTGGTATGGTGAGTACAAGGATGCCCCTACTTATCATGTTCCAGGCAGGGGGACAGCGCGTGTAGACATCATCGGTGTTGGCTGCTATTCCTCCAAGGATTTATGGACGTGGAAGAACGAAGGCCTCGTCCTGTCTGCAGAACAAAACAACATTACTCATGACCTTCACAGGTCCAAGGTTCTGGAGAGACCAAAGGTGGTTTACAATGACAAAACTGGGAAATATGTAATGTGGATGCACATAGATGATGGGACATATGGCAAGGCCTCTCAGGGCATCGCCCTTAGCGATTCCCCCACGGGTCCTTTTCGCTATCTCCATAGTAAAAACCCCCATGGATCTGAAAGCAGAGATATAACAGTATTCAAAGATGAAGATGACAAAGCTTATGTTATCTTCTCCTCAGCCCACAATAAAGAGCTTCATATCAGCCCTTTGAGTCAAGATTTTCTTGAAGTTTCAGATGTTATGGCAAGAGCTCTTGTGGGACATTACAGGGAAGCTCCAGCTTTGTTCAAACACAAAGGCAAATATTTCATGGTCACTTCAGGGTGCAGTGGGTGGGCACCAAATGAGGCATTGGTTCATGTGGCTGATTCAGTTCTGGGGCCTTGGGAGACCATAGGGAATCCTTGTGTGGGGGGGAGCAAGGGTTTTCGGGTGGCGACGTTCTTTTCTCAGAGCACTTTCGTTCTCCCAATGCCGAATAGTCCTCCGGGTTGGTTCATTTTCATGGCAGATAGGTGGAAACCAGATGATTTGAGAGACTCCAGGTATGTATGGCTGCCACTGAGAGTGGAGGAGGTTGAAGATGATGTGATGATGAGGCCTAGGGTGTCAGTTTTTTGGCATAAAAGATGGAGACTTCCTCAGAAAAAAACATCTGAGAATGTTGTGATATGATGTTACTTGTGCAGTACTAGAATAAATTTGCAGTTTACAGATTATTAATCTTAATTTTGATTAACTTTATACCAGACATTGACCAACCTAAGATCGATGCTGCTACATTGTATTGCTATTGTTTGTGTATAAATTGCCCAAGCCCAAACCCGGCAAATTATATCGTGCACCGCGGTGCATAATAGATTATGTATCGAGCTTCTAAACGACGTCGTTTTGTTTAATGAAAAGAAACGGCATCCGTTTCACACCGTTCCGCAAAAAATAACTCTGTTATTCTGTTTCGTTTTGTATACACTGCAGTTTTATTTCAACACAACTACAGTTTCGTTTCGATATAACTACAGTTTCATTCGATATTTATACACTCAAATATGTGAAAATGTTATTTCATTTTATTTTATATACAATATAGTTTCATTAAAACACAACTACCTTATCATTTCGATATAACTATAGTTTCATTGCACAATATACACTCAGATATGTGAAATGTTATTCAGTTTCATTTTATATACACTGCAGCTTCATTTCAACACAATTACAATTTCATTTCAATTCAATTGCATTTCATTTGATAATATACAAATAATACGTGAGGCAATGTCAGTTTAGATACACTATAGTTTCAGTTGATAATTAATACACCAAACATGCATGCTCCTTTAACTGTAATAGCGCGCTGTTTCTTTATTTAAAAAAAATAAAAAAAGACGTTATTTTTGGGTCGCGGTCTCCATTATAATTGCCGTCCAAATCTAATACCATACGGCACAAATGGACGGGTCCAAAAATTAGTCCATCACTTTGTCATCAATTCAGCTATCGTAATTGTCATATCAGAGTTGACATTTTGCTAGCTCACTCTTCCTCGAGATAGGCAAATTGAGGTTGACCAACCTCAAAGAGCTGATCTAAAGGGCAATGAAGGTGTAATAAACCTAAGGATCGGACCTCTTTCTTGTTTTGCTCAATTGATCCATTTGTATGGCATGAATTAGACCGAATTTTATGGATTAATTAAGATGTAATCTCAACTATAATTGTCCATCATCAATATAAAATCACACATGGATGTGTGTCATGTGCATAGAATTTGGCCACAACCCACAACCCCCACTTGTAGGAACAAAAAAGAGAGAGGAAAAAAAAAAAAAAAAGAGGACGGGGACAACCCCAGCTCAAGTGGTAAGGAGGTAGCGCCCTTGACTGAGAGGTCCTGGGTTTAATCCTCCGCCATGATGAATTTGAGCCGGCTGGTTTTGATTTACCACCTTGTGGCCCTTTGCCGGCTAGGGTCGCAGGGCGAGGGTTCAGGAGTGGGGTACACCCTGATCTATGCTATAGAATACGAGAGGGGCAGTCTAGTCAAGCAGGAGCATTAATTAACTGTAAAAGCCTCACGGTGTAGTTAACGCCAACTTCCATAACCGTTTCTGGGACAAACTGACAAATACCGCAACCCATCTGCCACTCTGCCACCCTCTCCTTCTTCCGTAAATTCCCAAATCTTCTTCTTACACGCAAAGAATCCATCTTTTTACACAATTCCTTTCACTTTCCCATTCCCTTTCCCTTTGTAATCTGATCACTTAGTTCTTAACATTGAGAATAACGGTGTGATTAGATTAGTTCAAACAAATTAAACTTTTATTCAGCAGTTTCTTGAATCTGGAAACGTTCATACAAATTAAATTAAAGGTGATCTTATCTGGGTAAGTCGATCAGAGTCATTGTTGGGTTTTGTTCTCTTGATGATTTTTGACATGGTTTTTGGTCATGATCTGTAGAGCTTGAATTCTGAGGGTGAAGAAACATATATGGGGAGGAAGGCGATCATGGCGGTAGAAGTTGCAGTATTGTTGTTGATGATGATGATGATGGCGATGGAGTCTGCATTTTCTTCCGATACAAACCCTGTTTTCAATCCGTGTTTAGATACACAGATTCAGAAATGGGATGGTTTCACGTTCGGTCTCGTCTTCTCATCCAAAGATAACTTCTTCTTCAATCAAACTCAGCTCTCCCCCTGCGATCGCCGCCTTCCCCTCTCCGCCAAGTCCGCCCCGCTCGCCGTTTTCCGCCCCAAAGTCGACGAGATTTCGCTCCTCACCCTTTCCAGCACCACCTTCAATCCTGCCCGCGCCGGTGGCTATATGGTTGCGTTCGCCGGCCGCCAATACGCCGCTAGATCCTCGCCTGTTCTTGTAGCCGACAAGTCTCACATCATCACTAGCCATACCTTGGTAACAACATTCAATCCTAATTCTTCTTTTTTGTTTGATCGATCAGCTGATCAGTAGCACATGTGCCAGAGCCAGACCAAATGTCATGGGTTCAAATCTCAGCGCCACCCATAAAGCGACTACGGTTCACGTGTTGCTTGTAAGGGGCGTGTTGAGCATATAGCCATTAATTTGCAATCCAACTATTAGTTTAGACTTTTAATTGAGATGGAGCATGCTTCAATTACACTATGTAATTTTGTTTGTGCCCAGGTTCTGGAATTCCAGAAGGGAATTCTGCAAAATCTGTACTGGAAAAAGTTCGGGTGTGCTTCCTGCAATGGCGATTCGTTTATCTGCCTTAACAACACCGACTGCGCAGTCCAAATCAACAAGTGCCACGGCAACGGCGGCTCCATCGACTGCAACCTGAGCATACAGTTGGCGTTCTCCGGCACCGACAAGAGCGACGATGTCTTCAACAGCTGGTACGAGGTTAAGAATCTCAAACAGTATTCACTCTATGCACTCTACTCCAATCTGCGCAATTCTATCACCAATCCATTCCAGAACCTCTTCTAATTAATAAGCCATCAGAAGCTCCCAACATTTTCTTGGATTATTCTCTGCAGCCTCATACTATAATGTCTGTACCACAAACTTCATGTTCATGCAAGAAGGTAACATAGTTACATAGTTTTGTTGCATCTATGTATTCTCTGTAGAAGCTTTTGAAGTTTCTGGTTGTAACATGTTTCATCCTCAATAATTTTGTAGAAATATGGTTTTAAAGAGTTTGATATATGAGTCCTTCGAGTATAATGATTTTGCCACATTTAGTCTTAAATTTTCAATTTGATCTTCGACTTTCAAATTGTTACCATCTGTGGACTGTAGTACAAATTAATCACCCATGGTCCTTCAATTGGTGTTGCAAAAATCGAGCCTAGGCGCCGATTAATCAACGCCTAAGCGCTAGACGGTCGGCCACCTAGGCGCCCTAGGCTGTCGGCCACCTATGCGCCCGCCTAAGAGCCGATTAATCGCTCTAGACGCCCGCCTAGGCGCTCTAGGCGCCGATTAATCGCTCTAGACGCCCTAAGCGGTCCCCAGGCGCCTAGTGATTTTTTCAACCTTGCCTTCAACTATCCAAATTTAATCAGTCATGATCCTCTTGAAAGGACCATGGATAGTTAAAATTTAATAGTCGAACTATGCACCCTACGACTACCAGCAATCGAACTATGCACCCTACGACTACCAGCAATCGAACGATGCACCCCACGACTATCAGCAATCGAACGATGCATCTTACGACTTCCAGCAAAGCTAAGAAATCAACTTAATATGCATTTAGCATTCACAAAAACAGTATTTGGAAAGAATGTTGTATGAATAGATGTTTATCTCAAAACCTTGTGAGCAGGGCAGTCAAATGAGTGTATAAAGGAATGCATACCAAAAAATTATTGTATAACTAGACTGTTCTATACATGCTCTAATTTACATTCTGTACAAGATGTGATCAGGCAGACCAAATGCCACTTTCTGCATAACCAAGAAACAGTTTGATGCATTCCAATCTTTCCCATCTGGCCTGAAAAAAATGCGTTCACAGGTAGAGCCGCTATGTTGCAGTGGCACGTCCTGGCAAGATTTCGGCAATGGTGGCGAGTTTTTAGACCTTACGGCATGATTGAATCATTTCTCTTGGCATTATGCATCTGGGTTTCTTGGTAGGGTGATCGAGCCAACAACTGTACTCCTTTATGCAGGTTGGGTGCGTGCTCTTTCATGGATATCTTTCACAAGTTCACGTAACTCAGGAAAGACGGTAACGAGCAAAAGTTCAAGGATTCCATACGCTAGTTGCTTTAAACAGATGGTAGACTGCAATTCAAAGTATAATTGTTGGTGGGGAACATGGAGAAAAGGGGCATCGCCAAGCACTAAAAGAACGGGAGACTCGTGAATTAGACAAAGGTCGGGACATACCTGAAGGAAATAATATATATCACGAGCACATCGCCTGTACTGCTTGTGCCCAATCAAGCTGACCAAAGTAGTGGGAGCACCATCTGGAATGAATATAAAGATCGAGATTTTGAGTCACACAATAATATGGTTCATAACTTGGAACTCAGCCAGAAAAGTGATCCACGCAGCGAAAATAGTTTTGTGGATTAAAAGTTAAATAGAAAACCTCACCGAAAAGCATCTTCTTTACTTCATTAGCTCTGCGGACAGCCTCAAACTGTTCCTCAAAAGATGCGGCTTTCGAGGCCCTATTCCCCGATGCTTGTCTTGTGGATCGGCCAGATCCTTGATTTGATTGACCATCATCCGTTTCACTTTGAGCTTTCAATTTCAGGAAGAAAGTGCCATTGGGCCATAAAACCTAGAGAGGAAGAAAGAAAAACGAAAACAAATCAACAGCAGAACATATATGCTTCCATTCATTCCTAGTCTCAAAATCCTATAATTTTAAGAGTGGAGTTCAAATTTTGGGCTTCAATGAAACAACTTTCTGGAAATAAAAATATGACGAGAAAAGACATTTACATCTTGGACCCATTGTATTCCATGGGCAATGACATCCTCTCTCCGAAGCCAATGAATTTGCCTTAACAGCCAGTCATCAATAGCATCCTCCATCATTAACTGCAATATTTGTTTTGATATCCAAAATACCTGTCTCCTGCTCAAAGAAGAGGCGAGTTGTATTCTAAGATGCCATATAAAGTTGTTGTAAATGCGAAATACTAAAATGGACGGGAATCATAAGGAAATGAGTGGGATTGGTACTATTCAACAAATCTAATCACGGTGTCACTCATCAAAGCTATAGAGCTGAAAAGTGGCTCACCTTAACCAACCTCTTCTATTGAGCTGAAATATGTTATCCACCAAATTCAAAACGGGCACACTTAAATTAGGAGGGGTCCACTGCATAGAAAAATCAGCATGAAGCACGGTAAGATGGAAATCCAGGATGCAATGAAATGAATAGAGCATATATCATGCATGAATCTGTAAAATCATTGTGTGCCCTCTGAAGGAAAATATCTAAAAACGATACAATTGAACTTATATACCGGTACAAAAATGACAACTCCACTAGCTAATATTTCAGTCATCTATATCGGATTCCTTCTTGGAGATTTTAAACAGAATGTCATGCACATCTATGAACTTTCACCGTCAGCCGGTGAAGGAAATTGAAATATAGCAAGCCAAGCCATCATATATAGGTGTTTGGTAAATAGTTGTTGGCTAATAGCTGTTAGCTGATTGGGTAAGTGGTTTGATTAGTTGACAGTATTGGCTGATTGTAGAAAGATGTTTGGTAAATTAGCTGTTAGCTGTTAGCTGTTAGCTGATAGCTGAATATGCAAAATGACTTTTCTCAAGAAGCTAATCGAAAAAACTGCTTTGAGCAGCTTTTTGAATTTTAGCGTTTTGGAGCAATAAGCTGTTGCAAAAAGCTAATTAACCAAACACTTATATTGGTTGTTTAACCAAGTCAAACAAGGCAAAATTGGCTGATAGGCTAACTATTTTACCAAACAGGGCCAAAGTTGTCTTTTTCAGAAGCTTTTGTTTAACCCTCTCCCCTCATAATCCAAGTAATTAAGCTGTGAAATAATCCGGAGCATCAGAACAATCAACAATGTAAACAGAAAGAATAAGCTTATTTTAGCGGGGATTGGGGATGGCCAGGAAATGACCAGTACCTCTGGCGGCATCCTAGTTGGATCCAGTTGTTGACCCGAGACAATTGCCAAACATGCTTCGGGAAATCCACCAGTGCTAAGTGATTCATACTGTGGCCCTGAACCAGACATCATGTCAGAACTGGAGCCTTTGAACTCTTCATCATGTTTAATCACTCTCGGAGGGAACTCTTTTGAGTTCAATTCATTGTCAGAATGCCACCCATTGACTAGTGGACTCGATTCTGTTTCACCCTGGACATCTCTGCCATCTTTATCACCATCATCGTTATCAGAATAACTGTTAACAGACTCTGAGGTACTTTGCGCCAATGCCAGTTTACCAATTTCATCACCACTCCATGACAAATTTCTCTGATAATTCCCGCCTAAAACTGCAGTAGCTGGTTCATAAGTGGAAGAGGAGCCAACAACTTTCCGCACTAAACCATCAGAGACTCCTTTAAATTGGCGTACAATGTCATCCACAGCATCATCCACATTAACTGCCCAATTCATAATAGCATAAAAACAATAAAATGAGGAACCATAAATACCAAAGTGACCAATTTCTTGACACTATTTTCATAAAACACCTAAGAAAAGAAAACACTGTTTGCCTCATCCCCTTGTATTACTGAGATGTGGAATAAACAAAGAGTGAAAGTAAACTCAAGAGTCTATGTAAGTCTAAGTCCTAAGTCCTCATTAAATGCACAATGGATATAAAAGCCAAGAAAGATCATACATACCTGCCAAGGTTCTCATAACTGAAGATGATTTTCCAAAGGAGTAATTCTACATTCATATAAATCAAGGGTAAGAATTCTCTTAGGTTGAGCCTGAGTTTAAATAAAATTGTCTCCAGAAACAAACAAAACTGAAAGAAGCACAAACCTTCGAGGAAGCACTCAGAAAATCCCACACTTCATGTTGCTCAGCCACGTTAGCAATTGACAATAGTTCCTGATGTTTAAAAAAAAAAAAAAAAAAAGGCACTGAAAACACAGCTAGAAAAAAAATCTGTTTACTAGAAATTAGTAGAGAGCAGTGTGGAGATATACTTGCAGATACTTGTCAAGTTGAATGCAACGCTGATGAACAAAAGCATCCTCCGTGCTTGAAGAAAAAATCCTTTTAGGAGGCAAATTTAAAGTGTAATTTGGAATGTCCTTCAGCTGTCGGTGCAATCTCTCAAAGTTACTGTATCTGTTAAATAGCAGTGGCAAATAGTAAGACACTATATATAGACGAAAGAAAAAAAATTAAAGTTGCCAACTTGCCATTACACCCAAACAGAAAGATGTAACTGAAAAATTAACTATTTTGGTGATTAAAGAAAAGATAAAAACACAACCTTCTCTTCACAAACCATGTGTTGTTATCGGCATTGGTCACTGCAATTGAATAAACTGCAAAAGATTTCGAACCCAGTTTCTCAAAATATGCTCCTAAAACCTGTATTACCAAGGACCAGCTGTCAGACAACAAAAATACCATCACAATGCATAGATTAAAAACAGTTTATCCATACTCATTAAGCCACTTTAAGTCTTTAACTATCATCTCATGCTCCAAGACCCAATTTATTCTCAACTGAACATGCAGAAGAGTATGGAAAAAGAGGTGAAGTAATTATACGTACCCGGCACTTCAGCTTTTGAACTTGATGTCCATCACTGCGCAATACCATTTCTGATGCACTTTTAGTGGTATGTACTTCAGCATTCCCCTTAAAATCAGCAGTGTAGAATTCTGAAATAATGGGCCCACCTTTGCTAGCCAGCGGGTCATCCATCTTTACTTGGATATGCAAATCAGAAGTGCTATTTGATCTCTTAAGCCTAATTCTATTTTCATGGCTAACTGCAGCAACAGTGTCCACAACTTCCTGTGTGGAAGAGCACCCTTGGGGAGCTACCACCATATTCATATTTAAAGATGAATGTAAAGCATTGATGTGATCAGTAGGCTTGAAGTTTGGATGTGGCCTTGGACGTGACTGCCCCAGAGCCTTATTTTCCATTCTGGTAGGTGCGTCGGGCTTCTGGGTTGTTATTTCCTTTCCTGATTCTTTTGCACCACTTATAACACATTTTTCCTCTGGAACCGGAAGCCCCTTAGCAGCATTCTTCTGGATTTTCTTCTTATAATGTCTTCCAATTGCCCACATATTCTCAAGGTTTTCAGGCATTAGAACTTCTGTTCTTCTTTGAGTTGCTGCTTCAAGGACACGTGCCCAGTCAGCTGGCTGAGGAAGCACAGGCTCATCTTGGATTATGTTAGATTCAGAGCTTCTTGAAGCATCAGATGGCAATATCCTTTGATGACCAATTTGAGCAACAGTCATATCAGGCCTTTGGTTGTGGGCAGCCGCAGCCTTAGATTTACTGTCCACACTTTCTGCTGGAGCACTGCGTTCATGATAATGGCTCTCTGAATTGGGTGACTGATAATTGCCAGCCTCTTGGGTCCCCTTAGCATTAATTGCAAGGAAAATATATTCAATCAACTCGTTGATATACCTGCAAGGGTGTCAATCAACAATGAAGAGTAAAGAAGCTTAAATCTCTGCAGCACTTGAGGACCCAAACCTCATTCAGTTAATGAAGGAAGAAGAAGCTGATTTACTCTAGAAAACTTCTCTCTAAGTAGAAAAATTAAGCATTTATTTTGCTATGTTAGAGGGGAAAGGGGGAGATAGGATTTAAACCCGTGAAAAATGCTCAGAAGGTGGCTTGGCCCACCACTGTACAACACAAGGAAAATTAATACGTAAAAAAAGATACTACGTGTACTTCACATAAGGAGCTACAAGCTAAATGCAGCCAACCACATTCTTGATAGATGAATAAAATACTAAGGCAGTTAGAATGGCCAACTAACTTCAGATAAAAAATAGTAGGTACGGAGTATTAGACTTTTGTGGACCATTACAGATAGAAAGCATAACAAAACTTAATTTTCAACATAAAAATAACTCACCCTGGACTGGCAAAATTCATAAGAGGTTGCATTACCAAACAAGTCAAGAATTCCCTAGCAAAACTTCGAACCAAGGGGGATTGGGCTTCCCTCGGCCTTAGAACTGTAGCTAGGACTCCACTCATGAGCCGCTGGAGAACCTATAAAGAAAAAGCATTACTTGGAATCCCCCAAAAAAAAAAAAAAAAAAAAAAAAAAGTAATTTAAGTAAAAGAAATTTCTTCATTGGAACACTCCACTCACACCTTGTACTCACACTCTGGAGATATCAGAGCAGGGTGAAGTTCCTGGGAGGCAAGTAAATGGTGTTTCAACCTCTCATCCCTTTCTTCGGAAGACAGAGTTCCCATGACATCCACACCAATAGAGGCCTGGTTTCTTCGGAAAAGATCCAAGTGGTCTCCTATTAGGTTCACTACATCCCTTAATTATTTGAAAAAAGGGCTCAGTATCACGAATATAAATATATCCACACTCAAACCTTTTGCAAATGAAGGAATAAAGCATAAGTCTTTTAATTCAACAGGATGCAATAAAATAAAAAAATAATAATAATAAAAAATACCTTGTCAGCAAGTCAGCAAGGTTTATTTGTTTCGCTCTATGTGATATTTCTCCAAGAACATCCATAACTAAAGAGTGTATTAGCTGAGGAACTTCCTTGTCAGGCGTAATCTCAGAATACCACAAATCTATTACAAAATCATGCAAAATCTTTTGAATAAAATCCTCCATGGCTGCCTCTACAAGGGGTGAATCAACTTTACTCTTCCATTTTGGCAGGGGTGGTGGTGTAGAAAGACGAGAATCATTTATAGATAGTTGCTTCTTTCCCAAATGTGACAAGTACGTCTGCGGCCTAACGTTCCGAGTTTTCCAAGAAAAATTTACCTCATTCAATAGTATCCTTAGTCCAGCCACCAGCAATATGGCAATGGGAAGATTCATCCACATTGACTTACTAGTGTCTGCAATCAAAACATAACATTCAGAAACTGAAAACTGTCAAAAAGAAAGATAACCATGAAAAAATTTACATCAACCATAACATTCAAGGTCAACTCTCTTTTTGTCCTGTTCAGCAATTAAACACAGAGCGAGTTTTCGCCTGTAGATCATAGCAAGAGGAATGCTCTAACTAACCAGCATTGTAATGAATTACACTATAACTAACTAGAAAGACCCAAACTTTATGACATAATCAGCAAAACAAACAAAACAACCGCAAAACCTAACATAAAAGAGGCGAAAATCTAAACTTACGAGTCAGAAAGTAGCAAACGGCGAATATACAAAGCGCCCACCAAACCGTCCGAAGCTTCGCTTCTTCGATCAGATCTTGCAGAGTCGTCATGGGCTTCATTCTGCACGAAGAACCCTAGAATTTCTCAATTCTCTCAGTTCAACTGCCAAGCATCAAAGCATAAGGAATCAATCGATTCCGAGAGAGACAAGGCTAACGCAAAGAAGCCCAGAACAAACAAAAAACCGAAATTGACTGCTAGCGCGGAAAAGATTGAACCTTTCAGAACTGGAACTTTCTTGGCTTGTACTAGAAAAGTTCAAAGGAGCAATCAACGATTCTGGGGTTGATGAAGCGGTGTGGGGGGTGGAGGAAAGAGAAAAATACGTGGGAAAAAATTCCTTTGGGAACCCGTTAATGCCTGCCTCGTTGGAGCAAGCGAATTTTAGCTGGTAAGGGTTTTGTGACTTTTATTAGTATTAAAAATGTAGACTCTGCTAAAGATTCTACTATCCTATACTCCTACTAAATACTAATCTACTATACGAGTTTTGTGGGATAAATTGTAATTCCCCCCCAAATTTTGTATTTAATTATAATAATTTTTTAATAATTTCAATTTCATCCACATTAATTTTTAGTACTTAATGTCTTTTTCAAATTGATTTGATTTGTCACTTTTGATATTTCATAAATATACTATTGTTGAGATTATGAAAAATGGTCTTGACTCAAAAACTAAACAACAAAGTTCACCAAAGATTAGTTATTATTGCAAGAAAAGCAATGGACAAAACATATCTCACTTATCGGACGGCCCATCTCTTGGGTAAGGAGTCTGTTTCTAAGTCTGAACGTATGGAGTGGTTTTCTACCCCTCCATCTTTTATCTATACTGCACTTTATCATGACTTAATATAATGCTTCCGTTTTCAAAAAAAAAAAAAAAAAAAAAACATCTCACTTAGAAAAGAGTGCAAGATATCTTTGCCCTAACCGGTAGTGCATAATATAGGTAAGTTTTGATAACAATATAATTGTGGAAGATAGAGACGGGAACTAAAGCAACATAAACATAAGACTACCCAACAATGTTTTTTTTTTCCAATCAACTGTAGTTAAAAAATAAATAAATAAATAATAATAATAATAAAAAGCTTTCAGAGCCCACATTTTTTTAAAGGTATCAGAGCCTACATTTAATTTGTGATTATTTGAGGAGTTTTTTCAGAGAAAAACTAAACATGGGTTTTTGAACAAATAGGAAATGTGTTTTTTTTGGAGTTTATATTAATGCAAAATCAAGTTTTTATGTGAGTTCCGTTCTTGTACAACCTATTAAATAATTCTTTATGCGCTATAATTTAAATGCGGAAGCACAAATAAGATAGAACTTACTTGTTCGGTTGGAGATGTAATCTTTACCTTAATATATGGAGACTAGAAAACTTAGAGACTTGAAACAGTTAATAATCACTAGAGTTTTCCTGGGTATTTATAGATGTGATGAGAAATCCTCTTTCAAATGAATAGGTAACTTCCTTTAGGAATAGAAATCCCTTTAGGGATGTGAAATCTCCTTTTAGGAAAACTCATAACCTTTTTCCATTATACATCTTTAACCCTTATAAATTTAAATTTTAACAGGAAGAGAGGAAGAGAAAACCCCATAACCTTTTTCCATTATACATCTTTTAACCCTTATAAATTTAAATTTTAACAGAAGGAGATGGGAAAAAAACACATAACCTAAGTCAAGATTATTCTTGTACAACTTGACGTGCAAAACGTGCGTTAGAGGCGCCCAGCATGGCGCGTAACCATGCCTATTGTTTTTTTGGTCATAATTGCTTTTTTTTTTGTTCTTTATCTCCCTTTTTTTATTATCTCTCTCCCCTCTCTCCTAGTTGGCATGGCAAAAAAAACTTAAAAAAAATCATAACTAATGAGGTTGCTCTCATAATAATAACTAGAATATTATAAGATATAGGAAACATGCAAAAAGTGATTATATTTTTACATAATTAGTTTGTCAAATCATATATATACAATCACGAATTTATAAAATCTAATTCGCACTCCCACTTGTGTAATATAATACAAAAAGGTCCCTAATTTTTTTAATACATTAGGTTTATTGGCTTATTTCAGATTAATTCGAAGCCCGATCTTCCAAAACGTTGTTCAAGAGCCACCAGAAAAGGTAAATCGCGAGTCAACTCCAATTATATGTCTCCCATTATATGTACACTATGCTCAAACATGTTTTTACCACTAGAACAAGACTTTAGGGTGATCATTAAACCAGCTAAAAAAATAAAAGAATCTCTAGTTGGTCCTTAAAGAGATCAGAGGGATACATGTGGAAATGCTCATGTCAATTTAAATCAAGTGATGAATGCATACACTAAACTACTTTTCTACCATCTATCCCACTTTGACACACCATGAAATGAAGGCCAAATTTTCCCACTTTTGTGTCCGATGTTTCATGTTTTCCTCCAAAAATGTGTGATGTTCCCGACAAAAATGGACGATGTTAAGGTCAAATATGGATCTCCGATCCATCTTCCTCCGATCCATAATAACCCTTTTCTCCCCCATTCGATCTTCATCACCATCAAGCTCAAGTGGTAAGCATGGCTGCTACCACCATTCTAAGCCGCACCGTGGGGTGCTTTTTCTTCCTCGTGCTCGCCTCCTTCTCTGCATCTTCTCTGGCTTTAACCAACGCCGAGGTAGAATACATCTCCCGCCGGCAGCTCCTCAACTTCGGCAACGGCGACATCCCCGACGATTTCGAGATCGTCGTCGACCCGAAGCTGAAGTTCGCCAACGACCGGCAGAAGAAAGCCTTCGTGGCGCTGCACGCGTGGAAAGAAGCCATTTATTCCGACCCGAAGAAGACGACGGCGAACTGGGTCGGCACCGATGTCTGTTCCTACAACGGCGTTTTCTGCGACCACGCGCTCGACGACCCCAAGTCGTGGGTGGTCGCCGGGATCGACCTTAATCAAGCCGACATCGCCGGCCACCTCCCCGTCGAGATCGGACTCTTAACCGACGTCGCCGTCATCCACCTCAACTCCAACCGCATCTGCGGCATCGTCCCTATCAGCATCAACAAGTTGAAGCTCTTATACGAGCTCGATCTGAGCAATAACCGTTTCGTGGGCCCCTTCCCGGAAATCGTGCTGGAACTAAACCTTAAATACCTCGATTTACGCTTCAACGATTTCGAAGGGAAACTCCCGCCGGCATTATTCGACAAGAACATCGACGTCATTAACCTAAACAATAACCGCTTCGAGTCCGAACTCCCCGAGAATTTCGGCAATTCTTCCGCCTCGTTAATCGTCCTCGCTAACAACAAATTCAGCGGATGCGTTCCGGCGAGCATTAGCACTGGCAGAATGGCCGACAGCCTGGAAGAGCTGTTAATGTTGAACAATGATTTCTCCGGCTGTTTGCCGGAGGAAATCACGCACCTCAAGAGTGTGACGTTGTTTGATATGCAAAGCAATAAGTTGACCGGAGATTTGCCGGCGGGGCTTGAGTACATGAAGAACGTGCAAAGCATCGTGCTTTCCGACAACATGTTCAGCGGGAAAGTTCCCTACAACCTCTGCACGCTGCCGGGGCTGAAGAACCTGTCGCTCGCCAACAATTTCTTCGACCAGGAAGATGAGGCGTGCGTGCCGCCGCGGGATGGGATTGAGATTAATGATTCCGGGAACTGTTTGGTCGGGCGGCCGGGGCAGAGGTCGGAGAGTGAATGCCAGAAGGTTTTGAGTACACCGGTTGACTGCAGTAAAACCGGTTGTAGAAAACCCCAGGAGGCGGCGCCGCCAACGTTAACGCCGGAGCCAAATGCTCCGACGCCTGTGGCGGAAACTGAAGATTCCGGGGAGTCGCCGGAGCCCTATAACCCACCAATCTATCTCCCTCCAGCTCCCGGCCAGGAGCCACCTGCAATACAGCCGGAATCCCCGCTGCCGCTCTCACCGGAACCAATCTCTATTGTCCCAAGTGCGGCCCCCATTAGCGAGACACCAGAAGTTCCAATTCCGAGTGCTCCAGAAGGCGAGGGGCCGGCACTCGCGCCGGAAGTTCCATTCTTTACACCGGATGCTCCAGAATCTAGCCCGCCGTCGCTGGCACCGGAACCTGAATCTACGCCGGAAACACCTGAATCTTCTACGCCAACATTTGATGATCAAACGGGGACACCACCACTTCCACCGGAGGGTTCTATGACTCTTTCCCCGACTTCTGAGCCGCCGGAATCTACTTCTCCGCCGCCCTTTGCGGACGTTAAAATTCCTCCTAACTTGGGGTACATATACGCTTCACCGCCACCCCCAATCTTCAAAGGCTATTAATTGAGTGGGCGTGATGATACGTTTCTATATCTTTAGCACCATTTTAGATTGAAAAACAAACAACGAAATTACCATGCAGAAATATATCCTTAGTATAGTGTTGTACCAGTAGATCAGAACTTAATTGTCAGCATATTTTGGCTTTCTGGAGAATTCTTGTGTAGTTGTGTGTAACTGTATTGTACCCATTGCATAAAGTTTCTTCTGAAACGTAAAGAAATACAAATAGCATTTCCATTCCCCTTTCACTTTGGTGAAGCATCCCATTTGGAACTGATAGATAGATAGGTAGCTAAGAAGTGCTGACTGTCAAGTTCGAGTGTCATGTTAGACTGTTTGCTAGGTGGTATCGACCAGATACTCATTATTAGTATTTATTTTTATATAATCCTATGGATTGTGTTGCGTCGCACTCAATTGCATAAGTTGTAAAAGAAACAAGAAACTAAAGAAACAATTTTTAATTAATTAAAAAAAAGAACAAACAAACAAACAAGCTAAGAAGTAATCATCAACCAATGATAGTTAATCTGACATTGGGCTGCTTCTAAATTATGTTTATTTCATTTAAATGTCAACTCTCGTAAGGTCTTATATGGTTTATTACAAACTTAAAGTCAATGACTATAAGGCCAATTGTTATATTATGGACTAGAGTCGACCCTGGTCTAATACAATTAATTTATATTTATAATACAAAGAATTTATGTTCATATATAATACAAGATACACATAAACACAATATAATGAACATAAATTTTGTGTATTATGAAGTTAAATTCTGTGTATTGGATCAAGGTCTACACTGCAATGTGGATCCTTATCCACTATATAATTTGCCTAAGGCCTGGTAATCTGGTATACCTAACAAAGAAAGAAACGAAGAAATGGAGAAGAAGAGGAAGTGTTGGATTCCTTCTTTTCTCTGTCTGGTTTTCCTTCTTCATTCTTCTGCAAGTGCAACAACAACATCTGCAGGTGGGCCGAAACCGGGTAGACAAAACCAGCAATTCGTGCTTGTTCACGGGGCCTGTCATGGAGCTTGGTCCTGGTACAAGCTACTGGGACTGCTGAGATCCTCAGGCCACAACGCCACGGCCGTGGACTTGGGCGCAGCCGGCATCAACCCGAAGGGTGTTCTTGAACTCCGGCGCCAAGCTGATTACTTTAGGCCGTTGATGGAGTTCATGGCCTCTGTTCCTGCTGGCCGGAAACAGGTGATCCTGGTGGCTCATAGCCTGGGTGGACTTGCGGTTTCTAAAGCCATGGAGGAGTTCCCGGAGAAGATTTCTGTTGCTGTTTTCGTCACTGCTCTTATGCCTGGACCATCTCTAAATGCCACCACTGTCATGAGAGAGGTACTCTTATTATAGTTACATATCATATACTCCATCCGTCCCATTTTATGTGTTTGATTCGGTTACCGAGGCTGGAGTGAAGTTATTTTTAATTCAATCTTTCATAATATTAAGTTTAGTATTAGTATACAAAATTTATATATTTAGAAACTACACTAAAAGTACTATTAAACACAAAAAATCAAATTTAAAAATGAATAAAAAATATTAAAGAAAATAAACAAGGAAGAAAGAGTTGGTTTGACCAATGGATAGTAAGTAGGACAGATAAAATGGGACAGATGGAGTAATTCTTATCCACTAGCTTCTTGGTTTGTACTGATCAATTATGGACAACTTAGATTGATTTATCTTTTTTATGGTCTTTTATCGGTTAAGGTCACAAGATGAGGTTTATCTAGTATACAGATAGTATATGCATGTTTCACTTGTCACTCCAAAATAAATGAATAATGTTAGTTTTCAATACCAAGTTTTTTTTTTTAATGATGAGGGACACCCGCACCATTACCCCATGGTGTGTATTAAGTAAATTCTATCTTGTGACCATAATGATAAAGTATCACAAGAAATAAAACTTAGCTTGTCCATAACTGATTGTCTCAGATACCAAGTTTTTCAATCATTGAAAAAAGAGATGATGTCTAACATGTATAGTAGTCGATAATAACTACATAACATATTTCACAACCCAAAAGTGGTCAAAATGTCATATTTAATAAAAAGAAAAACTTTACGTTTTCAACCCTTTTTTTGGTGATAAAACATGAGGAGTTCTTTAGCTGTAACAAATGTTTGATCTTAACCTTTTTGAAGACAAACAGGGGGAATGCGTCTCAGCTAGATAATCTCTTTACATTTGACAATGGACTCAACAATCCTCCCACAACCTTCATCTTTGGTCCAAACTACTTAGCAGCTAACCTTTATCAGTTAAGTCCGATTGAGGTAAGCATATATAAACTCATAAACTAACACTGATCCAACTAACATACTTCATAACCTTAATAAAAACCCTAATTTTCATCCACTTTAATGATGTTTAATTTGATCGGCTTGTCGTCGTAGGATTTGGCTTTGGCAAGTACAGTGTTAAGGCCAATACATCTATACAGCGAGAAAGAGGTGTCGAAGGAGATGGTGCTGTCTGATAAACAGTATGGGTCAGTTAAGAGAGTGTTCATCATTTCTGGGCAAGATAAGGTGGTGAGAAAGGAATTTCAAGAATGGATGATTAAGAAGAACCCTCCAGATGAAGTGAAAGAGGTGTTGGGATCAGATCACATGGTGATGATGTCTAAGCCATTTCAGCTTTTTCATCTTCTTCAAAAGATTGCTCACAGCCATTCTTGAAAACCCTACTAATCTTCAAGAAAATTTACACTCATATATACATTCATATGTAATAACGTTCATGCATTGTGTACATGCATGGTGAAACAGCTTAAAATGGGAATCCCAGAGAATACAGGGCTACTTTGCAATTTGCATGCCTCTATTTCCTCAGAATATTTCCATTTCTCTCTTGATTCTTGTTTTAAGGTAAAAGTAAAAACAACAGTACTCTATTGAACAGCAAGTTCAATAAAGCACTAAGCAATGCAGTTAAAGGTTAAAAAAAAAAAAAAAAAAAAAAAAAACATACCATAGCAGAAGAAACCCAAAACAAATTGAACAGCAAAAAGGGCGAAAGAGGAAATGGAGTTTGTTGTACAATTACAAAAGAGAAAGTCAAGTATGGATTATGAAAGCAGTACAGTGATGTTTTATATAAGATGCCACAGAGAGAAAATGAACATTACACGAGAACAAAAGCATGAAAGAAAACAAGCAGTTGAAAAGGCCATGGGGTGGGGGATGAGTCTGTCCTGTAATATTCACACCAAAGAGAGACTGGCAATAGATTCAAAGTATAGAGCAGTGCGGGTATTGTATGTTGTGTTCACCCAGCTGTCCTGTGCACATCTCACATTGCGTATACTATCTCTCCACTGCTCTCAATGTCGAGGTCAGGGTCGCTCTCCAAGTCTTCTTCCATGTCATCGTCGATGTCTAAGCTTCCGGTAAGATAATTGTTGAGGCTGTTAGTCCCGGCAGCTGGAATGGTGGCCTCCGCTATTATCTGCATGATTTCATCAATGCTCTGCATCGGTTGATCTGGCTCCTCGAACTGGTTATTGGTTGTATTGTCATCCATGAGGTCCGCAGGGAGGTTCTTCAGGAACCACTCGTGATTCTTGATTTCAGGAATGGATATCCTCTGTTTTAAGGCAAACGTTGCACGAGTAAAAATACAAAATTAATAGTAAATTCCCGGTGAAATGGAAAGCTCACGAGAAAAAGAAGTTGAGAACCTCAATGGACTAGGGTGAAATAGGTCATTGTAGAGAGTGAGTACTAACAAACCTGTGTAGGATCAGCTACAAAGATCCTTGAGATCAGATGACGGCATTCTGGGGAGATGTGAACATAATCTGGTATTGAGTACTGAACATTCAAGATTCGCTGCACCAAAAGGGCTATATATTTTCAGTTAAGACATTCAACCAACTATAGGTACACAGGAACAACAGAGCATAAAGAGCTACCTGTATTGTCTTCCTGAAGTTTTTCGGCTCATCAGGGTGCTCAAAAGGGTAAGCACCAACTAGCATTACGTACAAGGTGACCCCACAAGACCACACATCTGCAATCTGTAACAATACCAACATTTTCAAGAATAGTATCTACTATATAAACAATAGGGGTATATGACAAAGTTATAGGATAAATTTAAACCATGGGGATCTTAATTCTCACCTTGCCATCATATTCTTTCTTCAGCAACACTTCAGGTGCAATGTATGCAGGAGTTCCAACAGTTGACTTCGGTTGTGAATGCAGCACCGAAGACTGAAAAAAATCAGAGTAAAACTAGTGATTAGAGATATAAATGATATGTCAACAAAGAACAATGGAATAACGGGAGAGATAAAATAAATTGATTTATTGTAGACCTCAATAGCTATTAGCCTATTACTATCTCCTAAGTAATTTATAGGATTGAGATACAATGAGTTATCCTATATGAATAAATGTTATGAACAAATACTAACTACCATGCTGTAGTTGGTTGTATAAAATAAAATATCAATCTAGAATATGTAGCAGTATAAAAAATTTATCCCATGTGGATCTAAGGTGTAAAAGGAACAAAGTCACCCAATACCTTTGAATATCCAAAATCACATATCTTTAGACGTGGTGCTGGGCTCCCATCCAGTAATGTGTTTTCCAATTTCAAGTCTCGGTGGCATACTTGCTACATAACAAATAATAGTTTTAGAATAGAACTATAGAATCCCATAAGTATATATTCCCAATTAACATCACATTTCTCAGGGAAGAGATTTTCTTTAAGTACCATTGAATGACAATAGCTGACCCCTGATATTAGTTGCTGAAAGAAAAACCGTGCCTGCAATCCAGTTATTGCTAATGCACTAATTAAAAAAACAAAAAATAAAAAGCAAAAATCAAGTGACAAGACAAATTTTTTAATGCATTTAATAAAAACCTCATCCTCGCTGAATCGACCAGCATTGCAAATCCGCTCAAACAGCTCTCCACCAGATGCATATTCCATTACAATAGCCAAATGAGTCGGTGTCAATATGACCTAGAACATAAGTTGAAAAGAATAGCAGTATAATTAATCAAGTATTAACAACCGAATGTAAAGGAAAATAGAAATAAACTTTGACATGGACTTACTTCCTTAAATCTGACAATGTTGGGATGCCTTAATGATCTGTGGTTTATAATTTCTCTCTGCACATTTTCATCAATCTACAAGCATGCATGTAAAAGAAAACAAACTAAAATCAATCAGTTCCATAAATCCAAAAGGCAAACCAGTCTACAAATCTCCAATTCTAATAAATTGTGATAGAAATTGATTAGCATCATTCACTTCGAAAATCTACTGTTGCAAGGGAAAAAAATTTATAATTTTCATACATTAAAGATCATAGTCCTCTTAAACAATGCCACTTTCTCTTTAAAGCTTCCATCCAATAAAAGGATGTATATGAAAACAGCTTTAAGCTCTCCAATCACAATCACAAAATATCATATTCAACATTTAAAACTTTGTTGTACAAGCTACAAGCTCTTGAACCTAGAGTCAAGGAGTTAAAAAGAAACTACTGTTTTTCTTCTGACTTCCCCAATGGTTTATTCGTGACATTCAGAGGTTTCTCTTGAAAATCAATACCAATGTCCAAGGAAACCAACCTATACACAGTTCTGGTTTCGTTCCCATTCAATCAAATTTTAACCGGAAATAAATAGCCAAAATTTCTCACAGTACATTATGGCGCGCAGAGATTTGAAGTCAAATTCGAACAACTAGAATAACTGAAACAGGAAACCAGAAGACTAACCTTCTCACCTCTCTCGATATACTTGACAGCGACGAGCTCGTTAGTCTGCCTATCCCTCATGAGCCTCGCAACACCGAAGTTCCCGGAACCGATGTCCCGGACGAGCTCGTACCGGTCGCTATCGTGCATGATCGGCACATCCATCCCCGGTCCCACCGTCACAGCCGTACGATCCATCTCCTCAGTTTTCTCCTCCCTTGGTTCAGCAACAAGCACGCACTGGCATTATCATCAACCGCCTTAAAAATTGCCCTAAATCCTCACCACCATCCCCCAACTAAACCCTAAAACCAAATAAATACGTTCAAAACCGCACCAAAACAATATATCTCAAACAATTAAGGAGAAATTGAAGCTCACCACAACGTGGCGAGAGCTTAATCACAGGATTGACGTCGAACAGTTGGTTGAAGATGACAGAGATGAAGCTGAAGTCCGTGAAGTCTCAACAAACTCGATCAGCAAATTTCCAGCTACTCCTTAGGGCTTCTGTACTGTGAATCTCCTCACCACATCATCACCTATATATGCACACCTATAGATGTAGAAAGAGAGAGAGCTCGTGAAGTAAGCTTCTTTGCTCTGCCTTTTTTGCTTTCAGCTAACTCTTTCTTTCGGCTTCCAGAACAGATACAGATTTTTTTTTTTATTTTTTTTTATTTTGCAATACAGTTTTTTAAGCTGGTCCAAAATTAGTAAGTGTGTTTATTAAAAGACATTAATAGTTATCACAAACCTACTAAAAACTTGCGTATTTATTATAAAAACTCGAGTTACTATTTTTCAAGATGTTGTAGAAGGCACTGTGCTAGTCGGGTGTTCGAGGGCGCCTAGCACATAGATTGGCTCTGTTTTTGTGACTGAGTAATTTAAGTATATTGTCTATATTTTTTCCACTTAGAAATAGAAGTTATTAGACTGTTATAATATCTTAAACTAGTCAAATGCATATGTTAGATGGTTAATTGATTACATGGTTAGAGAAATATAGAAGAAGAGTAGCTGAGCAAGCAAAAAAAACCAGTCGACCGAGTTTAGCGCCAACTCGATAGAATTATGTGCTCAATTCGGCCGAGTTAGGTGACTAATTCGACGTCTAGATCACCTAGTCGACCGACTAAAAGTCGCTTAAAGCTGAAATTGCCTCGGCTTAAGGACGCATAGCGTCTAGATCGATTTTTACAATAATGTTATTTCGTAGCTGACTAAAATTCACTTCTAATGATGTTTAATTAATTGTTGAAGCTTCCATATTTTAAGGCGTATGTCAATTTGATTGTGACAAGTGAGCTTAAATTCGTCTCATTCAATAAGCAAATAATAGTAATTTGATAAATTTTGTATTTTAGTCTTTAAAAATATAATAACTATACATTGATATATTATTCCTTTAAAATGAGATGGCATGATTACCTTCACTATTCATATTTCAACCTCAAAAGATGTTTAAATTTAAATAGTTATGATTATTTTGTTCATTGATTGACCATTAATATAAACGCTCATCGAGTGTTTAATAATTTCCTATTGTTGTTTTAAAGAAAAATATATAAAAGTGTACATTTAAGATTCATGTTAACTTAATTGTATTAATTTGTCAGTGTAAAATACATCATTAAAAATTTTGTAATCAAATATATGACTATATTTGGTGATGAGCTATACCTACCCGATTAGTTGAGTAGCTTGATTGGCACCTATAGGTAAACCTAACTGATGAAAAGTAAGCAATTACGTATGATAAGAAAAAGAAGAGCGTTCAAAGTTAGAAGTCAAGAAAAAAAAAACAAAAACAATAAAACAAAAGAAGATGAAAAGGAGAATGTTCAAAGTTAGAAGTCTCTCAACTGATTGATCTTACCCAATTAGTTGAGTAGCATGACTTACGCATATGGGTAAACCTAGTTGATGAAAGGTAAGCAATTACGTACAATAAGAAAAAGGAGAACGTTCAAATTTAGAAGTCTGAAAAAAAAAAAAAAGGAGAGCGTTCAAAGTTAGAAGTCTCTCAACTTATCGATCCTACCCAATTAGTTGAGTAGCCCGATTTACGCCTATGGGTAAACCTAGCTGATGAAAGGTAAGCAATTACGTATAATAAGAAAAATGAGAGCGTTCAAAGTTAGAAGTCTTGAAATCTCTCAACTGAATGATTAAAGGAGAGCATTTAAAGTTAGAAGTCACGAAAACTCTCAACTGAATGATTAAAGGAGAGCCTTCAAAGTTAGAAATCTCGAAATCTCTCAACTGAATGATTAAATGAGAGCGTTCAAAGTTAAAAGTCTCGAAACCTCTCAACTGAATGATTAAATGAGAGCGTTCAAAGTTAAAAGTCTCGAAATCTCTCAACTGAATGATTAAATGAGAGCGTTCAAAGTTAGATCTCGAAATCTCTCAACTGAATGATTAAATGAGAGCGTTCAAAGTTAGATCTCGAAATCTCTCAACTGAATGATTAAAGGAGAATGTTCAAAGTTAGAAGTCTCAAAATCTCTCAACTGAGTGATTAAAGGAGAGCGTTCAAAGTTAGAAGTCTCAAAATCTCTCAACTGAATGATTAAAGGAGAGCGTTCAAAGTTAGAAGTCTCGAAATCTCTCAACTGAACGATTAAAGGAGAGCGTTGAAAGTTAGAAGTCTCGAAATCTCTCAATTGAATGATTAAAGGAGAGCATTCAAAGTTAGAAGTCTCAAAATCTTTTCATTTGGAAGAGTCATTTCCTGTCACTGGATCACATGGTTGTGTAAATTTAATTGAGGTAATTTATTTAGCAAGAGCCAAGAGATGGGGAAAATGGGTGGATAAGGTTTTGCGGAGCACGAGAAAGCAGCCAAGTGGTGGGGTATGATTCGGTGGCGTATGGAGAGTGAGGTTAGTGTAGAGGGTAAGGTTCGGGTGCTGACAGGATATGATAAGCACTTCCCAATTATTAAGAGAGTTGACATGATGTGTGGCCATGATTGGTTGACCAATGAGGCAATGCTGTATATGACCCATACAAATCAATTGCCCACAGCCCCACCACCATTTATTTTATTTATTTATTTTTTTTTTTGTTTGGGGTTGAAGGGTTACCTTACACCATAGGGTAATCATCTAATAATTTTTATATGAATAATCATACTTGGTAAAATCTTGTTGACATTTTTAGCTTGTAATCCATACCCCCTTACATAAGTATTTAAGCTTAATGGTTTGGTATTTAAGCAATCATTTAAAAAAAAATAATGACTAAAAAATCTATTATTCCCATTATATTTACAAAATTAATTTTAAAATCTTTCTTGTGAGATTTTCTCCATTAAGGAGATTTTATGAGTTTTTGATGATGTAGATGATAGAGATAGATGGTTTAATTTGTTTGCTAATTTATTATGTAACAATTTGTAAAAGACACTCAATCAAAAAAAGTGTTAACAAGAATCTATGTTTTATTGACTTAAAAGTTTCTTCGAGATTTTTTGTAATGACATATAACATGTAGATTTCATAATTTCAATAAAAGAATATGTTGAAAAATGATTGTTAGTTTGGGCCTATTATGGGCCGGAATACTTTTGAACAAGATGAACAATAACTTATGGATCTTGAGCTTGGAGCAATTGGCACGTTGGAACTTGAAAGCATATCAAACTTATGGGCCAGCCCATGTTCCGCAAAAGCGATGGCCATAAACTATAAATCATATCAAACTTATATTTCTCAACTAACCTACAGGCCCACAAAGAAGAGTATCTGTTCAAACATACTTTTTCAATCTACTAAAACATAAAGAAGAGTTAATATTCACACATTGAGGTTCAAACCTGAACTTCTCATTTGAGGGTCCATAACTATGCGGCTCGACCACAAAGCCTTGGCAAATAGTTGTACATTATTATTCACAAAAACAGTTAAATTCATATTTCACTTTTTGGTCATGGTAGAATTCGGACCCAACTTAAGGTGTCCTCATTGCTATCACTCTAAAAGCTGATGAAGAAGGTAAATTGCAAGATGCGCTTCCATTCACCTACATGTTTATAAATGCTTATACACTAATATTTACAACAAAGTTAAATTCATACTTCATTGTTTGGTTATTGGTAGGATTTGAACTCAACTTAAAGGACTCTCACTGTTCATATCTAGAGACCTGGTGAAGGAAGTAAATTATAAAATACGCATCAATTAACTTATAAGCAAACAAATATTTGTATATTAGTGTTCACAACAAAGTCGAATTAAAACATATAATTCAAATCTTACATATTACACCTGTGAACAAAACAACATTTTAAATTGATTAATCAGTTGAAGTATACTGAGTAGTTGTTTAAATGCTAGGTTGTTAAAATCAGGATGTTCAAGAGCATGACAGACAAAAAGTAGGATGAAACAAACAGTTGACACATGTAGCATGAGGTGGCAGAAGTTTGCATCATTCAATGTTGGACAGGACGAAAGAAAGAAAGAATGGAGGGAGATGGGCATATGATGATGAACTTGTCATCACGTGAAAGATGCTTTGGAGTGATGGGTATTATATATTGTGTCTGTCTTCTTCGTCCATGGAATCTTATTTGGATCCCCAATGAATTTAAGTGACGCAGAGGTCGTTTCACAACCGACGATTCCTAGCTTACATTATTTACGAATCTTATCAAACAAACTACGACGACAGGTCGGAGGTTTTGTCATTCTGGCTTCCTACCGCGCCTTCCTGTCGCCACGTGGTACCATAATTAATACAGTATCCAAAAATTTTGTTTAGAATAATTGATAGACTTATAGGACACTCTAATTGATTTAACAATTAAAATAATAAGTTATATATAGGCAAGACGTCCAGAACTGTTAAATATATAAGAAATAAGGGTCAAATAGGCCACTGAACTGCACGCCAAAGTGCAATTAGGCCATCGAACTCAAAAACAATGCAATTGGGTCCCTGAATTACACAAAATCATGCAATTAGATCCAAAATGACTTGTTTACCTGAAATGCAGGTTACCAATTTTAAAAATAATTTATAAATATATTTTAAAATAAAATAATTAATTAAAATTATATAATTAAAAAAAAAAAAAAAAAAAAAAAAAACTAAAACTGCCGGAGACAAAGAGCTTCGTCTCTATGGCCAGGAGACGAAGCTTCGTCTCCCTGGCTAGGGAGACGAACCTTCGTCTCCATGGCCGGAGACGAAGCCTGCCGGAGACGTGCAGTTCTAGTTTTTTTTTTTTTTTTTTTTTTTTAAATTTAATTAATTATTTTATTAAAAATTTATGTTTTAAAATTGGTAACCGCCATGTCAGCACAATTTCAGGTCAACAGGTCATTTTAGACCTAATTGCATGATTTTATGTAGTTTAGGGACCCAATTGCATTATTTTTGAGTTCAATGGCCTAATTGCACTTTGGTGTGCAGTTAAGTGGCCTATTTGACCCTTATTCCAATATATAAACATTTTACTTTTATTTCTTTGGGCTAGTCACATATGTATAAATGTCTTTGGAGAGCACATTGTAAATGACTTGATTTCTATTTTCTAATAATAGAATTATTCTCACAACATTACTCATATATAATAGTCCACAAATTATACATGAGAAATAAATTACACTAAAAAAATTATGTGTAACAAATTCAA